TTTATTCTTTCAGAAAAGATGGGGTCTCTAAGGAGTGAGCAAGGAGTCAGAAGTTCATTGCAGAAGCTGAATGTGGAAATGCATGAGTCATCCTTCAATCTCATTTCCAGTCCAAGCAAGGTTATGCATAAGAATCATGCAATGCTGAACCTAGCTCAGACATTCTCAAGCAAGCCACAAATGTAGCCCTAGCTAGCCTGTCTTTCACTGCGCCTGGCATGCTATTGACTGCTAATATGCATCACACTTGAAGATCTCCTAAAGCAAAGTATTAAATGCCAAAATGAAACAACCTAGAAAATTCTAACCAGAGGAAGCAGCAGAACAAAATTAACTTGCTGCATAGCTCAGAAGAAAAGTAAAATAAAAAAGTCTGCAGAAGGCTCCCCCCCCCCCCCACTGAATGTGCCACATTACCAGATGAAAGATTGAGATATAACTCATCTATTGCCACATGGCACATCAGCTGTGACTTCATTTCTGTGTCTTGTAGGGAAGCCCTACCTCTATTCACAGTATTAGTGGCATTAATTGGGATCAATGCTAGTGGCCCCAATAATGTCAGGCACTGGATTTTAACCTAAACGACAAAAAGAAGATGTCACACCTGGCATGGGAGGGAAGATAAAGAGAGACTTTGAATAGCCATGTTGTTGGCTCAGTGTTTGGGTGTGAAGTGCAATAGCAATGCCCTTCCAGGATAGGTATCTATCAAAGGAGAACTGTTTGTTATAAAGACAAATTCCACTGTCCCAGTTTAAGAATAAGCACTGTTTGGATGCAGCAGTATGTGGGCATCTTTGCTCCTTTCAGAATTCTCACTCAGTCTAAATGAGACAGTCTTATTATCATTTATGTAGCATGAGCCATAATTTGGATTGATGTGACTGCTGTTTAATGCAAAGCGTTCGTTTCCCCTTGTACAATAAAAGCGCTTTACTTCATTTTGTTCATCAGTGTATCATGCAATTAATTCAGCCCTGGTGATTATATCCTGGGCTTGCATGTCATGGACTCAAGGGACTTAGAAATGTCTTAATGATCTCATGGATATGAAAACAATGAGAGCTATGATAGACATTATGCATTTGCACGTCTCTCACACCTATCTGATCTGGGGGGTTGGTTGTTTTTTATCTCTGCTTTGCTTTGCTTGTACCCTGTAAATTGCCTCTCTGTGTAACCTGCTGTCTCTGTTCCCTTCCCTAGGCTTGATAAACTCAAAGCAGCATAAACATGGTGAGAAAGATAAGCAGCAAGTTGAAGAAGACCTGCAGGGAGAAACAAATGTCTTATCCGGGAGACTAGAAACAGGGTACAGAGATTGTCCTGACTGGTCCAGGTGAGTCCAGCTCACTGCAACTTATATCCAGCAATTAACTGCTTTATATATTGGTGGTATGTCTTGTGCAGACTGAGTAAAAACCTAATACACAGCTGGTTCCCTTCCTGACAGCACAAAAGTGAGGCCAATAAGGCAGAAATGCTTTCCTTTGCGTTTTCAGTTCACGGTACCCTTGGTGCGTAAGGTGAGAGCAATTCCGTGGGGAAGCAGAGGAGCTAATACAATTGCTCCTGCTGTCCTTACCTAGCTCGTGAGGATGGAGACAAGCTCACCCCTCATAGTTCTGCCCTTCTTGTCTCTCACTTGGGGTCTAGTCTGAAGGTAACTAACGACTGCAGCTGACACCAGTGTCTTTGAGCTGTGCCCCTGGCTGTGGAGCTGAGAGCAGTGAAGGCATCAGCTTGGCACAAGTGCATACATTATCAGTGGAGCCTTTCTGAATAAGCAGCAAGGAAGGGCATATAGAAGTTGTTCTGGCTCTGTAAACTCCCTTTTAAATCCCAATGGGAAATCAGCAAGAAACATTATTTGGATTGGAGGGGAAATGGAAAGTGTTTTGTAATGCTGGTGGGGAGCCTCCTCCTGCAACTTCACTGCAAAACAGTCTATGGCAAGGTGACTGGGGGAGTGGAGAGGGTTACACTAATGTGGTATCTTGACAAGCACACTTGAAAGTCCTTTCCAATCTCAGCAAGGAAGAGCTGCTCCTCTATTTCTCTAGAATCTAACTAGAGCTTTGCGATATAATTGAGGAACTACTTTTCAAGATTTACTGGCAGCCTAGAAAATGAACTGCCATACCAAAAATGGGTTTATGTGGTACATATGATCACTCAGAACATTCCAAGAAAACAACAGCCCTCATTTTTTTCTGATAAAAAAGTATGAAAGCAATGCTTTTTCCAGGCTTTATGTAGCAGAGAGTGACTGGCATGGACTTGAACAATTTGTTACAAGCATGGGTTTGAAATTGAAGCACTTTCACACTGTGGATTGACAACAGGGTAATTATTGGGGGG